CATGTCCTCTACCAGGCGCCCGATGTTGGCTATGTGTGGGGAGGAGTCACTCACAGTTTCATCTTTCTCCATCTGTCTGGTAAGGCTGCTGCCGAGGTTCATGGTGCCAGAGCCAGATTTGTTGGTTTGTAGCCACAGCATCACTGTGGAGCTTAATTTGTAATGGGCAGTACGTCCACTGGATTTCTCCTGTACTTCCACCACGTGGATGGAATCCCAGCAGCCTTTGATCTTCTTTGATCCATCCCCAGCCTTCTTTATGAGGATCACTCCAGCAAAGCCATGATCCAGATCCCAGAGGTAGACAGATGAGACGCCACCTTCAAAATACAGGTCTCGATACTGGTCAAAGGCATTGTTGGCTTCCACTTCCAGCTTCCTGAGCTGAGCAGATAGCATGGCTCCATCTTCCAGTGGAGGGTCATACTTATTACTCCATGGTGACCTATAGGAGTCCCCATCTCTGTTGTAGTCGCACAAAAGATAATCCTTTCCCACCACTTTGTCTCTGGCAATTTTCAGTGGCTGGTCAACAGAAGAGAGAAGATCTTCACATAGGGCTGGGGACCAGGTCAATCAGGTCGCTGAGGTTTTTCTCGATTTGCTGTGGAGGCAGGCGCCTCATTAAATCCAAGGCATAATCCAGCTGCTGATCACTCATGGTGGCAGCGGCGGCGGCAGTCCCGGTCCCGGTGTCTGTGGTTCTCCCCCCCGCAGCAGGGCCCAGCTTCCACTTCCCCGGGTGCCCAGGAGTGAACCTAATTTTTAACATTTTCTCTTTCCATCTTTAGAATCTTGTTTTGGTCTAGCAGAGCGAGCAAATTGAATCACCATTGGTTTTCCTAAAAGAACATATCCATTTGCTTCCTTTAAAGCTTTGGCTGCTGCCTTTTCATTTGGAAGCCCAATAAAAGCTTGTCCTTTCATGCGGCCTTCTTTCATCAAGCGAATATCAAACATAATCCGTTCTGTTTCTGATGAAAAGTCAACGTATCTTCCAAAAATATATTTAAGGTCCTTTTCTTGTACATGTTTAGCTAAATTCTTTACATATAATCTACAGTTTGGTTCACCAGGTTCATAACTTCTGAAAATTGAAAGTGTTTCCATTTCTTCTTTAGAGATTTTGCCCTTTTCCAACTCTTTCCTAGAAATAAATTCTGAAGGCATTTCATCAGAGTCTTCTTTAACATCTTCTGTGATGTTCAAATTAGGTGTTGGGAAGATTTTTCCAAATCCTGTATTAGTTGTATCAACTTCATTATCAGGCAAATCATGATTTTCTTCCTCACAATTTTCTTCCTTTTCTAAATCTTTCTTAGTTGCTCCAGGCATGCCAGTAGATATATGGAATTCAATTTTTTTATTACCTACAGGTTGTGGTTGGTCAAATACGTCTGAAGGTAACAGCACCGGATGTAAATTACTGTGTAAAACAGATGAAGGTGTCTTTAACATATCTTTTACTTTTCGTTTTTTCCTCACATGGCGTTGCTTTACTGGTTTTGGTCTTTTAGGCTGAAGATTTGCTAGTTCCACCAGTTTTGTCACTCTTTGTCGGTCCTCATCATCACTGCTTTCATATTCTGACTCTTGACTTGATAATTCCTCATCCTCATCTGGCAGAGGAGGCTTCTCAGGTGGTTGAGGAGATGTAGGCGGAAGAGGTGCATGCAATGGCATATAATCTTCATACAGGGGAGGTCGTGCAGTAATTGGTCCAAAAGGTGCGGGCAAATTCATTTTATTCATAAGATGAAGCACCTGAACATAGAACTTAGGCACGCTTGCCATGGCATTCACTATATTTGCTAAGATTGTGCTTGAAGGTGGTGGATACGTATATTTCAGGCATGGATTAAGAGGAAAGGTCAGTCCGTGATTTGGTGCAATTCCATTTTCTACTGTTAAAAACCCAACTTCTTTCTTTTCTTTATCATCTTCAATAGGGTCATCGGACCTTTTCCTTTTTTCAGTGTTTGAAGGAGATAAAGAATGACTTTGACCTTGGTCTTTTGCAAATTCAACAACTAAAGTATGCCCTAAAAGTTTCAGCTGATGAAGTCTTGTGAGTGCCTTTAGAGCTGTGCCTTCATTGGGGAAAGTAGCAAAAGCTGTATGTTTCAGTCGCCCCTTATCTGACAGAACGCGGACCGACTGTGCGCCGAAGTACTTGAGCAAGTCCTCTTTCTCCTCTGCGGTCAGCTCTGCGGGAAGGTGCCGCACCAGAAGGGTTCGGCCTCCGCGCGGCGGCGAAGGTGAAGAGCTCTGGTAACCTCTTGAGTTGGGCAGGGGCTGCTCGGGGGCCGCCATTTTCCTAGGAGAAAACGCAACCGGGACACCAAGGGAAGCTGCAGGGGAAACGGCGGCAACAACTGTAACTCAGATTAAGAGTGTTTTGGTTTGGCGCGAAGCATTCTGGGAACAAGGAAATGGCGCAAGCAGAGATTTCGTCTTCTCGCGAGAATTGAGCCGTGGGTGCCAGACGCTTGTTCGGAAACAGTTTCTTTTTTATTTATTTATTT